ATGAGCCCACGCGGTGCCCGGTGGCCATGGACCCTGCCAGGGAAGGCCAGGCAGCGCCCCAGGGATGCACAGCTTCCCGGGCTGGCAGATGGGGCCAAGCTAACCCCAGCCAGAACCACCTCCCCCTTCCCTAAGGGGCGTACTTTGCCTTTCCTCCTGTCCCAGCACCGCCAGCAGCGAGCCCCCGGCCCCAGTAGCACCAGGGATGGCACAGGGCTGGGGGTCCCACCACCTCGCCACCATCCCAACTCCTTTCCCTGGCACGGCGCAGCCCAGGAACCCACCTTGAACCAGCCCGACGTGGCACGCACCTGCTTGGTCATCGGCGGGCATCTCCCCGGCACTGCAGTCCCCACCGCCCCACAGCCACGCCATCACCTCCCCACACGCCAGGCTGGGGCCGGGCATTCGCAGCGCTCAGGATGAGACGGAGCCGTTTGGAATCAAAGCCAGCCACCACCGATAACCTCCATCCCAGCAGAGCCAGGACTCAGCAGGTCCATCTGGTCCCCTCTCGGCACTGGGGTCCCAGCCCAGGACAACAGAGCCACTCTGTGGGTCCCACCACCTCGGCGTAATCTCGGTGCCAGTCCCTCCAGTTTCCAGGACAACGCTGTCCCAATTAAGCTCATTAGGAGGAGCTGTAATCCCTGGCAGCCCAGCTGACCTGCAAGGCCTGGGCAGATTACCCTCCACAGGGCTCTTTAATCTGCTCCCCACTGAGCGCGCAAGGCCCGTGGCACCCGCGCTTGCTGCCCCAGCTGGGTGTTACAGCCCCTCATCTATAGCGAAAGCACCCACCGCCCCTACGATGGGGGTCTCCATGCGTGGGGCAGGTCACACTCCTAAGGGGTGACCATGGCCCTGCCAGCCCATCCTTGTCCAGTCTACGTTGCCATTTGGGGGCACTGGGGGGGCTCTATGGAGGGTCACCCAGTCAGGAGCCTGCGCCGGGGAGAAGGATGCTGAGGGTGCTGCAGGGGAGACGGATGCTGGGGGCGTTGCAGGCAGAGAGGGATGCTGAGGGTGTCGCAGGGGAGAAGGATGCTGGGGGCACTGCAGGGGAGACAGATGCTGGCGGGGTTGCAGGGAGAGAAGGATGCTGGGGGCATCGCAGAGGGAGAAGGATGCCAGGGGTGCTGCAGGGGAGAAGGATGCTGAGGGTGTCGCAAGAGAAGGTTGCTGAAGGTGTCACGGGGGGAAAAAGGATGCTGAGGGTGTCACAGGGGAGAAGGATGCTGAGGGTGTCACAGGGGGAGAAGGATACTGAGGGTGTTGTAGGGGGAGAAGGATGCTAAGGGTTTCACAGGGAGAGAAGGATGCTGAAGGTGCTGCGGGAGACCAGTGCCCCAGCACAACTCCCCGGGAGAGTCAGAGCGGTCCCCAGCGGCTCGCCCAGACCCGTCACAGCCTCCAGCAGCCGCCCGCGCCGCCTGAGTAGTGCTCTGAGGCACCTGAGGCTCCTGCACTGGCACAGGGCCCCCTGCGATGCACCGCACTGCGAGGCCAGATTGCCGGCGGGGTGGGTACAGACCTGACTCGAAGGGATGGCGCAGCTGCCAGCCAGCCCAGTGCCTGGCCCCGGGCACTGCCAGGCTCTGCCAGCGCCAGCCTGTCTGCCGTGGCACCCTGCGTCCCCAGGCCTGGCACCCTGCAGCCCAGCTCCTGTGCCAGGACCCCAAACCCCCTTTGAGGAGGAGGACACCGTGCCACCGCTCTGCGGGACGCATGCCCCAGGATCCCCGAGGATGCTCGAGCCCAACACAGGCCGGCAGGCAGCC